AGACGGGCCAGTGGTAGCAGGACTGAAGCAGGTGTAGCATGTGTCCGTGTATGCCCCAGCGCTGAAGGACGTTCCACATCCAGTGGTGGCCGAGGCTGGGGAAGGCGGCCGCGATGTCCATGCTGACGAAGACGGGCTTGTCAGCCGCTGCATTAGGTGAGAGACTGTGACGTCGGGCGGCGGCGTCGACCACGACGACGTTACGCAAAAACTGGCGGCCGTTGACGAAGCCCTGCTGCTCGGGGGACGTCTCGGCGGCGAGGGCGTGAAGCTGGCGGTTGGCGGCGGACGCCAGCAGCTTCACGTCCGAGTTCTTCATTGATAGCGGACGTAGGCACTCAGGTGCACGGGTGCACTCAGCGTTGCCGCAGGGCTCGTCGCCCTTCGGCAGCATGGCCATGAGGGAGTAGTTGAGGTCGTGGGGAGGTGCGCGGTTGGTGGCGATGTCGCGGCAGAAGTCGGCGAGAATGTCGAAGCTGTCGGGGGTGCGTAGCCATGCTTTGTAAGGTAGTGTATCTGGTCCTGGCGCAGAGTCTCCAGCCAGGCGAGCAGCCTTCTCGAGCGCTCGGGCGCCAGGTAAGTCAAGATGGGTGAGCGCACGCCGGGGGAAGACCGAGTCGAGGTAATCGGAGAGGGCAGCTTCGTCGACATGCTTCGCAGCGAAAACGGGGGCCCAGTGGCGCATGATGGCCTGGTGCATCGTCGCAGGATCGGAGACGATGTTGGTCTCGCCGCCAGCGATGATCTTGACGCCCGACAGGACGAGCCGCTTGGAGAACGGTTTCCAGAGCTCGCCGCGGAGGCCCTCACGCTTGGCGCGCTGGCGCCACTTCTGACCGAGCGGGACGTTGTTGGAGGCGAATGCGGCTCGCGAGCGTGCCGCGGAGAGGGCCTTGCGCTCGTCGCTGAGGCTCGCGTGCGTGGCGTCGGTGGTCGTGGTGAAGTCGTGCATGTCGTTGATGCTGACGGAGCGGTCGTCAATCTTCAAGTGCAGCTTGCCGATGTCCTTGTTGTCGATCAGAGTCTGGGCGAGGGGCACGTTCTGGTACCACGCGGCTCTGGCGATGCTGCGTAGCGTCATGGCTCTGGTTTCCTTTTTGACGGTGGCAGTTTGTGATGAAAGTTCAGCGGCAGGGATCTTGAGAAGCGTGTCTCGGGCTCTGGCGGCGGCAACTCTCATGGCTGCCTTCAGGGCCCTCCATCGCGCCGTGGGGGTGAGGACGGACATGTCAATTGTGGCAAGCACGTTGGCGATGTGGTGCTTGTAGTGTGCAGTGTCAAAGATGTACGCGGGGATGCCACGCTCGGTGACCAGCTTGGGCTTGCGGAGGCGGATGCGCAGGTGCATGATCTTGTGGTCGCTGATGGGGCCCTTGGAGTTCTCGAGGGGAGCATCGTCGGCGATGTATATAGTTTCCATGAACGGCATGAGGTGGCTGGGCAGGTCGATGAAGCAGCGGTCGATCGTCGATTCGCTTTTATTAGCCTCGGATCTGTGCGTCGTCGAGGGGGGTCGCAATCTCGATGACGTCGCGGAACAGGTTGCGCCAGAAGACAGGCTGGTACTGGTATCGCAGCGCCGCTGTGGTGTCCGAGTCGACTGGTGTGTTAATCGATCGGGGCGGGAACTCAGAGACGTTGAAGTCGCCGACGATGACTAGAAGCCGCTGCTGTGGGAGTTCATCAGCGTGTTGGCGTAGGGCATGCCATTGGTCTCGTAGGTGGAGCCGATCTGCTGGCGACAGGCCGTAGTTGTGAATGTTGAGGACGGTGACTTCATGCTGGAGGCTGGCATCCGTGACCCGAAGCCAGGCGGCTCGGCCAGGGATGACGACCTCAAACCTGAGATGAGGCCGTTCGTCAGGAGGAAGCTGGACTTCAGCCTTGTCGTACGGGACGAGGAAGCCGATGCCGCCAGCGTTGGTCACGGGGGCGTCGTCAAGCATCACGGGCGAGTGGAATGCTTTGTACCGATGCTGAGTGGAGTTTGCCAGCAGCGTGAGGTCGTCCAGGGTGCCATGCGTCTCCTGCGCTGCGAGAAGAGCCCGTTGGCGGAAGTGTGGTAGAAGCTGCTGTCGTTTGTCGGCGCGGCGCTGGTCTGAGTGTCCAAGAAGAGCTTGAGTGTTCCAGAAGGCGAGGTTCAGGCCCTCCTGTGAGGGCTTCAGGAGCCACGGGCTCCAGCGATGGCTTAAGCCACTGTGCGGCTGTGAGGGGGTCTGCGAAGTTGCTGGTGAACTCGGCGGCGATCTGCTTCTGCTCGTCCTCTGTAATGCCATGTCCGATGGCGGCCTGTGACCATTGGAGCTTAGTGGGCACGTCAGCGTTGCCACCAACAAGAAGGCGCACCATAGCTTCGCCGCGGTTCGAGATGTAGCCCAGGGTTCTGTGTGTACGTGCGTCGAAGTCGGGCTTGATGTTCTGCATGATTTTGGCGAGGCGCTTGACCTGGACCTCCGTGCGGACGGCCTTCGGGCTCTTGTCGGCGGAGACATATAGAGGAACGCATAGACCATTATCCAGATTGAGAGCAAAGGTCCGCCACTCCTTTCCATTGCGCAGAGATTTGTGTAGACGCTGTGCCCGAGGCTCTGCCACCACCGTACCACCGCTGACCTGAAAAGAGTGGCGCTTGGCAGGGCCGACCGTGTTGAAGATGACCATGTCCTTTTTGATGCTCGCGTCGTGGAACCAGGAAGTGAGTGCTTCTTCGAGATGCTGCTGTCCGAATTCTTGTGGGCTGCTGCACCAGAAGGTCGTGACGTCGGGGTCGCGGTCCCAGCTGCCCAGGCCGTCAAGGTTGAGAGCGGGGGCGCGTGCTTCAGCTGCTGTGATGATGGATTCCAACTTGGCGACGGCGGACTTGACTTCGGCATTCTGCACCTCCAGGGCATTGGTGCGGAGGTTGACTGCGGTAATAGCTCTCTCTGTGGCTTCGTGGCGTCTGCTGAGGTCGGACGTGATCTGCGTGAGGGAGGCGAGAAACTCGGAGCTGGCTTTGGCTGTGACTGCTTTGGCAGTGGCTTCGAACTTTTCAGAGGCGTCTTTGATCTGGGCGGCCATGGTCTGCTCGAGCTGCTTTCGTACATGTGCGGGAAGGTCGTGAACGGCAAGTTTGGAAGCGCCATCATGCCAAGGGTCTTGTTGTCGCTTTGCTGGATCTGCTGCTCCGTCGCGAGGGGTCGATGCTGCGCTGGCCAAGCCCTCTCCAGGCGGTCCCATGTCGTCAGTCGGAGGCCCGCGCCAGCCTCAGTCGGTCGCGCGTGGAGGTAGCTGCAGGCGAATGCAGCACCGAATATGAAGCTCAACCCACAGGGAAGCAGGAGGGCGTGGATATGAAAGCGGGTCCTTAGCTGTCCCTGGACCAAGGGTCTCCGTGCTCTGCCACGGGGCGGAATCATCTTGAGCCAAAATGGCTACGGACGTGGAGTAGGAGGAGAAGGAGGAGGAGGAGGGCGAGGAGGCGGAGGAGGACGAGGGTCCCCCTGGTGGGACTGAGGGACGCGCTCTGGGGGATTCCTGAAGGCAGGGGGGCGGCCCCTGCTCCATCCCACACTTTGGGCGAGCGTGGCCACCGACGCACCCTTTCAAGTCTTCCCCGCCCCACTTCCAGCGCGCTGCCTGCATGCCATCGCTCTACCCTTTCCCTTCCCTCCTCCACAAGTTAAGCGCTGTGTCGTCTCCGCCGTCTTGTCGTTCCCTCTCCCCCCCTCCCCCCGGGGCTGCTAGGGGACCTAACTACCCTGCCCCCGGGGGTCATCCGTGTGCCCACGATCGCTCTTCTTCTCTCTTTTCCATCTCCTAAGATGGCTTTTCGTTAATACTACGACGCCTCCGACTCCTCAGTCGCCCTCCTCCTCCTCATCCTTTTCCTCCTTGTTCTCCATTTCCTGGGACGAGCCATCCTTCACACTCAGGCCTCACTCGTACTCGGACCCTCTTATCCGCCACCGTGCCCTGAGGCACGAGATAGTGTCCTAGGTCATTGGCCACGGCATGTCCTCAGGTCCTTGGCCGAATCCCTTACGCACCAGTCCCCGATCCTGAGGATTCTTGAAGGGGCTCTGGCCCCCAATTGCTAAACTCTTGGGGCTTGTCGCGCGCCCTCTGGGCTCACCCGGGTGCTCCTGTATTATTTTTTCCGGGGCCAAGAGGGCCCCAAAACAGACCAAGAGGGCCCCACGAAGCCGCATAGACGGTCTAAAGGTGCCCCGAATCGCCGCACGATCGGTCCAAGACGCCCAAAATGGCCCCAAGACGGCCCAAAACGTGTTCGAAATGCCCCAACAACCGTCCCAACGGAGCCCCGAGAAGCCAAACTTCTCGATGGTCCGGAAATTTCTCATAATTTTTGGAAGCCTCCACTTTTCGAGCTTCTGGCGCTTCAAGACGCCCCAGGAGGCTCCCAAGACCGCCCCAAGAAGGCCCCAGAGGCCTCCAAGAGGGCCCCAAAACGGCCCAAGAGGCGCACCAGTCATCATTGAAGCCATCGTCCTGAAACTAAGGTGGAATAGCCATGGTGACCGTAGCCTTGGCCACCAGATTCCCGGCATTGGCCTTGATGATGAGCAAGAGACCTCGCCTTTACGAGGGAGGAGAGCACGATGGGGGTCGTCGGCTTCATGTCGGCAAGTTCCAAGGTCTGCTGCAGCTTCCCGACGGTCTCGCGCAGCTCGGCCAGTTGCAAGGATCGATCCTCGCACATGGTGTCGGACGCGTCCAGCCTGCCGGACATCGCATCCAGTCTAGTAGTGAGCTTGCGCTTGAGCATGTCCAACTTGGGGATACAGTCAACCCGTATCACAAGGATGCGCGGTAAGGATGCAAGGGCCTCGGAGGCCCGTGTTAACGTTTTCCGACGAGACTGGCCAGCGAAAGTCGCTAAGCATGGGCCGAATGGGCAAGGATGCAAGGGTACTCTTGGGAAGGCTGCCCATCCTTGCTATGCGGGTTGACTGCAGCGAACGCCGAACATGTGCTGGTCCACCTTCTTGGGCAGCTCGTCAAGGTCGCTCTTGCACTTCTCGAAGCACGCCTCGAAGCTCAGCTTGCAGGACTCCGAGATAAATCTTGGCCTCGGTCTCCACGGGCTCCTTGCTGGAGGCGGCGACCACTGCGTCAACCTTCCCCTTTCTATCACCAAGGTTCTCTGCCATGGCGTTGTGGCAGATCGAGCGGATAGGCTCCTCGATGAAGTTCTCGTTGAAGTCGCTGCCATCGTCGTCCATGCTGGTATGCACAGGGGCCTCGTCACCAGTAGCATCAGCAGCGGAAGCAGCCGCATCCCGAACACGCGAACGCCGAGGGGTCGGAGTCTTCTTGCTGTCGATCGCCTTCCCGACGCCCTTCGGCTGGCCATCCGACATCGAGAGACGCCCACAAAGCCACTCCTGCTCCTTACTTGGGTGTGCTTTTGGCAGGGCGCCGGAAAGAACTGCCAGCAGATGGGCCTTTGGGGACCCTCGTGAGCTGGAGGATCGGTTCACCGAAACACCCGAGCCACCCCATCGGCTGTGTCCAAGCTGGAAGCTCCAAGGCAAGGTTCAAGGTTTCCAACTTGAGCCAAACATGGCAAGGGAAGAGGAGGTAGAGAGGAGGGCGATGAGGGCGAGGAGGACGAGGGCGAGGAGGTGGCGGAGGTGGAAGGAGGGTCTGCCCCAGGTGGCGCGGTCGACTGAAAAGATCGCCCGTACTCTATGTCGTGCGCTCTTTCTTCAAGGGCCTCGGCGTGTACGATTTCGCGTATATGCCCGCAGTGCCGTGCCCGTCTTCTTCCATGAGAGCGCGGCCAATACCACGACATGAGGTGAAGGTCGCCAGGCAAACAAGGAACGCCACGCAATCCAAGCGCACGGATGCCACACGAGTCGGTCAAGAGCTTGCCTCGACAGCATCTGAAGACGGCGGTATTGAGCGACATATGAAAATAGGTGGCGCGCCTGGGGGGAAGTGAGAGGGGGCGGGCCTGCTCAGAAAGCTCGGACGTCACATGCCTTCTGAAACATTTTCTGAACCTTCCTCGAAGACAGAGAAAACTTCTCAGAAGGCGCGAGGGCTTCTGAGAAGCCCCCCCGCCTTCTGCGAAGGCCTTCTCCATCTCGCTTCCTCCCCTCACTCGCCGCCGAGGTATCGAGCGAAGTGTGAAAAGGAGGGGAGGATTTTTTTGGGGGGGGAAGGGGCACCGTTGCCCGACCAGTTCGACAGTTCACAATTCACTTGCTCGCAGCCTCTCGTGCCGCAGTGCGGGCACGAGGGGGGGGGGGGACGTGCTGAAGGCCAGGCGGAGACATGCGGAGGGCCAGGCGGTAGCGCTGCAGCGAGGGCACAGCTCCAGAGGCAACACCACAGCCCTCCATGGATGCAGGAAGGGCCTGTCCGCCTGCCTCCCTCTTCCCGCTGTGACCTTCGCAGCGCCCCATCCTCCACCCTTGTGATCATCATCACCATCATCATAACCACCACCATCACCGTCACCATCACCATCACCATCACCATCACCATCACCACCACCACCATCACCATCATCACCACCATTATCATCACAATCACCATCACCACCACCACCACCACCAACAACACTATCACCACCACCACCATCAACGCCCATCATTCACATACTAACCATATTCATCATCATCATCATCACCATCATCATCATCATCATCAAACGCGTCACCATAACATCATCAACACTATCATCATTAGCATCATCATCAGCATCACCAACAACACCATCATCATCATCATCATCATCATCATAATCATCATCATCACCACCATAGCATCACCGTCACCATCATCATCATCACGAACATCACCATCACAATGATTATTATCACCATGGTCATGCGCATGATCATCACCATGACCATCATCACCATCATCATCATCATCATCATCATCACCAGTATCATCATCATCATCATCATCATCACCATCAATCATCACCATCATCATCACCACCATCACCATCATCATCAGCAGCAGCAGCAACAGTGGCAGCAACATCAGCATTGTGGGCATCCCTGTCCGCCCCTCCTGGCGAGCGCGGGAGTCGCGGCTGGGCGAAGTGCCGCGCGCGCCATCCCGGGCGCGCGCTGGGCTTGGGCGCAAGGCGGCGCGGGGGCGCGGCTCTTGGGGGTGATGCGTTGGAGTGAGGCGGCAAGTTCTGAAGAGACGGGGGGGGCGGACCCTGAGATCTGGGCGCTGGATCTGTCTTTCACTCTGGGCGGGCTTTTCCGTCCGGTCTCGGGCCCTGGGGCCATCATAAATCGATCCCGCTCAACAAATGCCAAAGAAGACGGGGTCTTGGGCTCCGGTCGTGACTTCCCGCATGTTTTTCCGCAGCGTCGCATCCCAGGGGAAGGGCGGGGAGGGCGTGGCCAACGCAACGAAAAGCGCCCGAGGGGTCTCGGGAAGGCGGGCTGAACAAGGTGGGTGGGCTCGATTGCGGTGGCTGAAAATTAGCCTGGCGAAAGACCCAACCATGCGCAGTTGAGAGCGCCGCAATTGTGAATCTCGTCTTCGGTGGAGCTCCCTATGAGGCCAAGAACCGCGTGAGGGACGTGCCGATGTATGGCGGGGAACGCAACGCGGAAGAAGACGATAGGTCTGATAACGAGAGCTTGAGAGCGGGTGAGTCTGAGCACGAGTGGGTCTGATTGTGTATGAATCTGCGTGCGGGGGAATCTACGTGTATGAATGTCGACGCCCATATCGGCACCCCCCTCGTGTGGATCGCCCCCGCTTCCTCCCGCTCTTTTTCCCCCTCTTTGCCCGCGCACTCCGCTGCCCAAAGCTGCGGGCGCAACGCAGCGCGGAGTCCCCGCGACGCGCGCTGGTCGCCCCGAAGGGGTCCCAGCAACGCACGCGGGTCGTCCGCTGCGCGGAGCAAAACGAGCTAGCTGGCTGGCTGGGAGCGGGCAAGGCTCTGGCCGCCGGGCAGAGCGACGACGGGCGAACGAGGCGCTGGGCAGCGCGCAGCGCGGAGTCCCCGCGAAGCACGCTGGTCGCCCCGAGAGGGTCCCAGCGACGCGCACGGGTCATCCGCGGCGCCCGGCCGAACTATTGGACAGCCTGGATATGGCGCGGCTCGGGCGGGCCGCTCCCCAGGTCATGCCTCGCGGATAAACTCGGTGAAGCCCAGCTCCCTGGCGAGGGTCGCGGCCCCCCTCCTGCGCCGCTTCGTGCGCGCAGCAAACTGCGCCAACTGCTTCCGCAAGCCTGCCGGCGGCCCCGCCAGGAAGAACTCGATGCGTGGCGCCCGCGTGCGCAGGAGGTCCTCGTGGCGCGTGGCGCGCGAGAGCAGCATTTAAAGCTCCAGCCACCAGTCGTCGTCGTCCTTCTTGCCGTTCCCGATCTCGTGGCGGCCGCAGTCCAGGATCACGCCTGGGCGACGTCGGCCGAGGGGGCAGCGCGCGGGGCAGCCAACGGCCCAAGGCGAGAGTCCACAGAACCGAAAACAAAAAGTATGACTGCGGACCGCTCGTGCCCAGGAGGTTTGGCCGTGGATTGCGGGGGGGGGCGCTGTTCCCCCGCCCCGTCGCCTTCTCGCACGGTGCGCCCCTGGCGCGCCACCGTAGTGATGACCCTGCCGTGCGAGAACGGGAAGCCCGTCCGGGTGACCTTGGAGGTGCGGAACGTGAACGGCTCCGACGTGCGAGGCTCGACGAACACCAGCGGGCCCGTCAGGTCCCCCGTGAGGGTGTCGTCGTGGCGCTTCAGGTCGTCCACGAAGGGCGCGCTCGCGTGCTTCTCCATGCGCGCCCAGAACCCCAGCGGCAAGTGCTTCAGATAGATCCTCTTCTCCCCCTCTCTCGGCCCTCTCGACGTCGCCGCGATCCCGAGGGTCCACGACGAAGTGCGCGATCTGCCCCTCGGCATCCTTGACGATGCCGTTTTTGAAGTCCAGCGCCTCCAGGAGCCGGATCCGCATGCCCACGTGCACCGGGGAGCAGTCCGTGCATGCCACCGGTGTTCTTCGGGTTGGCACAGTTCATCATATTGGCGGCGTCCTTCCTGCTCATCGTCGGGGCAGATCTGTCGGCGGCCTGCACGAGGAAGAGGGGCCTCTTCAGGACGTCCGCGTCCCGCTGGGCTCGCATATTCATCCAGCGCGCCACGGTGTCCCAGTAGGACCCAATCATGTGGCCGTTCTGGAATCTTTCCTCCCGGAGTCTACGATCATCGGGTTTCAGCTGCATGGCGTTCCACGTGGCCCGGATGGCCGGCGGGGCCTGCTTCCCCGGCTTGCGCAGGAACGCCATGAGGTCCCTGAGTTTCGGGTCCTTGAAGCGGTTGGACGCCTGGAGCTCGAAGCACAGCGGCGTGTTGCAGAAGAAGTTCATCACGGCCTGGCACTCTGGAGCGAGGTTGATGCCCGCCGCCGCCTGTTCCTCGAAGCTGGAGATAAGGGACACTTTGCCTCCCGTCGGCTTCAGCTGCAGGAGTTCTCCCAAGTGGATCACGATGGGCATGCGGCCGAAGGCGCCGCCGACCTGCTCGTACTCCCGCTCCTCCGCGCCCCACTCGGCCTTGCGCCCCAGGCAGGACCGGAATGCCAGTGTACAGGTTGGGCGAGATCATGCTCACCTCTTCCAGGATCAAGCACCTGACCGCCTCCCACCCGCGGGTATGTCCTTGTTCCTGAAGGACTGCACTCCTATGACTCCCGCCTGGTGGCAACTGACGGCCTTGTGAGCGCCCGTGGAGATGTTCGCGGCCAAAAATCGGAAGCTGGGGCCCTAGACAATACTACCCGGGACTGGCCACCAGGATGGAGTCGAGAGGTCCGGGGGCTTCGCGACGCGAAACAAATCGGAAGTCTGAGGTCTCACCCTCCTGGCCAAGATGTCTCCCCGTGCTCTTCTGCTCCACTCTGATATCCGTCCTCCCCTACCCGTCATCCTCCACCTTCCCGTCCTCCTCATCCTGCTCCTCCTGGGTATCGTCGTCGTCAGGAGCGTCAGGGTCGGCGGCCGCCGCACTGTGCGGCCCTCACTGTGGGGCCACGAAACGCTGTACTGGGTGTGCGGGACGCATGCGGGCACCCTCACTGGGGCCTTCGGTGGAGCTCCCTTTGGGGCCACGACGCGCTGTACTGGGTGTGCGGGACGCATGCGGGCACCCTCACTGGGCCCTTCGGTGGAGCTCCCTGTGGGGCCACGAAACGCTGTATTGGGTGTGCGGGACGCATGCGGGCACCCTCACTGGGGTCTTCGGTGGAGCTCTCTGTGGGGCCACGAAACGCTGTACTGGGTGTGCGGGACGCATGCGGGCACCCTCACTGGGCCTTTCGGTGGAGCTCCCTGTGGGGCCACGAAACGCTGTACTGGGTGTGCGGGACGCATGCGGGCACCCTCACTGG